TTTTTTTTTGCGGTACGCGGGCCTCTCACTGCTGTGGCCTCTCCCACAGACTGTACACCTTGCACATGGTGCTCAGGTAATGGAAGGTCAATGAGTACATGAGGCAAAAGCCATTCTCAGCCATGCTGCTTCTCCCCCACACCTTTATCACTGTTGTACAATTCCTCTTGTTTAGGGAATGCTTTACATTTAGATGGGGAAGTAAATTACATCCATTCGACACTAGGCAACCATTGGGTGCCAGATACCGGGCCTGGCCTTGGGAGGAAGACTGCGGCAGGTGGAGCAGTTGGTTCTGTTCTCAGAAGAGCGATCGTGGCTCCCTCATGCTCAGAAACCTTATCTTTCTGGGATTTAAAAGGTGGTTTCTTTTTTTTAAATTTTTATTTATTTATTTTTTTGCGGTACGCGGGCCTCTCACTGCTGTGGCCTCTCCCGTTGCGGAGCACAGGCTCCGGACGCGCAGGCTCAGCGGCCATGGCTCACGGGCCCAGCTGCTCCGCGGCATGCGGGATCCTCCCGGACCGGGGCACGAACCCGTGTCCCCGGCATCGGCAGGCGGACTCTCAACCACTGCGCCACCAGGGAAGCCCAAGGTGGTTTCTTTGTCACAGAAATGAAGACGTTTAAAAAAATTATTTGTTGCATAATTAAACAAAAAGTTGTACATGCTCATGGTTCAAAACTTGAAGGTGAAAAGTCAATCTTTCCACTCCTGTTCCGTGGCCCTCCCATTTTCCCTTCCCTGCGGCCACCACTATCACCTTTCTTTCCAGAAATAATTTTGAGTGTGTACAGGGGGACACAATGTATACCGTTCTGTACCTTGTTTTCCACTTAATGTCTCAGAGATCCTTCGTATGGACGCGTAGCAAACCTTTAGGTTGAACCTCAGTGATCAAAACACAGTCAAAGGGAATGTCATTGTGAGCGGCTGGGTGGCGGCTGCCAGTTCCCACAGAGCCGGGTTGGGTTGCACGATATGAGGAGAGGTCTGCGTGCTGCGGGGCTGGGTTGGGAGCGTGCTCCCGCCTTCCCTGTCCCCCACCCCGAGCCAGAGAGAGAACCCAGGAGCCCCAGCGCCCCAAACAGAAGGATCCCTGAACAGCCACCCCCCTCCCCACTGGCAGCTGCTAGGGGCATGGGTGACCAAAGTCTAGGCTTCTGAGAAAGCCAGGATGGGAAATCTTTAAAAAAAAAAAAAAAAATTGTCAAAGGTGTGAAGCTTCCTTGGGGAATTCAGAACTCTTCCCATGGTCAGTGTGGGCAAAAGCCATCACCAGGTCCCTATAGTGTTTGGAGAGAATGGAAGTATGACCTCATTCTCGGCCTTCTTTAAGGAGCTTAAAATCTAGTTGGGAAGATAAGAGTGACTTTCAAAACAAGATGAACAGGAATCGTTTTAAATTACGGAAGTGTAGAGAGTCGGGGAGAGGGATGAGCCCTGGACTAGTCTAGGACCACTGCCTGGAGAGCCTTGAAGGGCAGGTGGGACGTGAAGTGTGTGTGCTGTTTCTTTTGCCAGGAGCACCTCCCTGCCACCGCAGTGTTTAGAAACCATACCTTCACAGCCCTTTCAAAAGCTATCTCTGCTCGCAAGGTTTACCAACATCCAAACCGAGTCTCAAGTCCCTGTCGAGACACTTCCAGGCTGCGCTCACTGCATTCGCACCCTGGGTCCGCTCTTTGTACTCCTGCCTGGTTGACCCTGGTCTTCCATGCCAGAGGTAACTGTCCTCTCCCTGTTGAGAGTGTGAACAACAGCAGAAAGTCTTGTTTGTATGCACTACATCGTTAAATCAGGAGTAGACCCTCCATGTGGGTTCGCTGAGCTGAAGCCAAGGAAGGCACGTGTCCAGGTTACAGGGAAGTTTGCACCAGACAAGTCTGAAGGTCTGGGTTCTAGTTCTGGTTGTTCCAGTTTTTACTGGTGTGACCTTGTGCCTGTCACCATCTCTCTGACTACAAAATAGGGATGACGTTGGCCTCTTTGGCTTCCAGTTAGTACTGTGAGAATCACTTGAGATAATGAATGCAAAACTCACTTGTAGCATGTGTGACAGGTGCCTTTATAACTCTCTTGAGCAGTGGAAAACAGGTTTGAGCAGACAGGATGGGATCAGATCATGGTGGCCTCGATAACTACACAGAGGGCTTGAGTGGGTATAAGGAAGTTTGAGCGAGGAAGTAACGCATCATGAAAACTGTCAGGTCGGAGGAAGGTTCACCCAGATGTGACATAAAGAATAGGGTTGGGGGAGTTGGCAGGGAGGGAGGGAAGAAGAGACATGTCAGAAAGACTTTGGTCTCTGTAGCCATCCCACTTGAAGGCAGGGATTTCAAGCTTGCAAACCTGAGTGACCAGAAGAATAACGATATCACTGACAGACAGCAAGGTGGGGGGAGAACTTCAGTTCTCAGCGTGCTGTGTTAGAGGTCACGGCTCAGTGTTCAAGTGGCAGATGGGTTGGGTGTCTGGGAGACGCGGGGACCCTTAGCACAGGTCAGGGTTGGAGCCAGGAGAATGAATGAGCCCTCCAGGGGGAGGGGAGAGAGACACAGGGTGTGGGGACCGAGCCAGGACGGGGGAACAAGAAAGTCAGCAGATGAAACAGGTCCTGCATCGCCCATCATTTGAACAGAGAGGCTTGTTTAAGTGGTCCCAGATTCACCAGGTTTTACAGAGTTCTCCTTTTGCTTTTGTTGGGTAGAACCGATCCTCGATTGTGTGTCCTTAAAAGGCAAGCACAAGTCTTTTGTAATTTTGTGTAGTCTTCCTCAACTTACGGTGGGGTTAAGTCCCAATAAACACATCATAAGTTGAAAATATCGTAAGTTCAAAATGCATTTAATACACCTAAGCTACTGAACATAAGAGCTTAGCCCAACCTACCTTAAACATGCTCAGAACACTTCCATTAGCCTACACTTGGGCAAAATCATCCAACACAAAGCCTATTTTTATATAAAGTGTCAAATATCTCATGTAATTTGTTAAGTACTGTACTGAAAGTGAAAGACGGAATGGTTGTCAGTGTATCAGTTGTTTACCCTCATGATTTCATGGTTGACTGGGAGCTGCCCTGCCCAGCGTCACAAAAGAGTATCACAGCGCAGGGCTTCCCTGGTGGCGCAGTGGTTGGGAGTCCGCCTGCCGATGCAGGGGACACGGGTTCGTGCCCCGGTCCGGGAAGATCCCACATGCCGCAGAGCGGCTGGGCCCGTGAGCCATGGCCGCTGAGCCTGCGAGTCCAGAGCCTGTGCTCCGCAACGAGAGAGGCCACAGCAGTGAGAGGCCCTAGTACCGAAAAAAAAAAAAGAAGAAAAGAGTATCACAGTGCATATTGCTAGGTTGGGAGAAGATCAAAATTCAAAAATCAAAGTGCGGTGTCTACTGAATGCGTATTTTTGCACCATTGTAAAGTGTAAAAATTGTCAGTCAAACCATCGTAAGTCGGGGACTGTCTGTATAATATTTAATGTCCTGTTTTCCTGATAGTGAAAGTGGAATTACAGAAAACCTGTGCCTCCAAAGGATTACTGATTTTGTTAGAATGATACCCTTCCCCCTAAATAAATGATGGCTTGCCACTTGAAAACATTCAACAGATTCTTTTTTTAAACAAAGTCATTCAGGTGGGATGATGAGATTTTCTCTGAGGCTAGCACTGGTGCCTGCCTCTGTTCTTGGGCACCCAGATGAGGCTAGCCTTGTGCGGCCTTATCCATCCTTCTAGGCTCTCAGCTCTGACCAAGCCTTGCTCAGAACCAGGCGGTCTGTTTCCCTGACTACCTGGGACCTGGGGCATGTGACATGGTGTGCTCCGATAATGGAAGCAGGCTGGCACCGTGGAGCTAGGAACAAGGAAAGGTGAGTCGTGTGTGTTTGCGGGGTGGGGTGGGTGGGGGCAAGGTTATTACTTTGTTCCTGGTCCCTGTGTTCCTGCGTTCTATTCCAGAACAGCCAAAAGGTGGAGGACCGGCTGGCTGGGTTAATCGTGTGTTTTGAGGCTTTGATGGTGCTTGACGAGATGGATGCCTGAGCATGTTCAGTGAGCAGCTTGGTTGAGGTCACCTTAGCTGATGGAGGAAGGGCACCTGCCCTCCTGTGGAAAAGGCAGGAAATGGTTTTCCTGTCACTCCTAGGGTAGCGCTCAGTGTGGCAAGTGGGTCTCCGATTGGATGAGCCCAGCACTGGAGCAGTTTCTGTGGAGACGCTGAACCAGACAAGTGTTTATTGCTGCAGCATGAAAATGAAAAGGTTGCTAGGGGAAGGCAAAGGAGGCCGGAAGTTAAGTGCTATGTTCCCTACAAATGCCGCCTCCCTGGCTCACCCCCTACCCCCCACCATCGGGGCAGATTACAGAGAAGGGATTTTCGTTAAATGTTAGCTGACAATGAAATTACATCGGGGGGATAGTTTTACCCTCGATTGATGCTTTTCCTGGACTGGAACTTAAATG